TTTCATTTCAATATACTTTTCATTTAAATTTGATTTCTGGGGAAATCGAGTATATAGGTATATATATATAGAAAGCAATGCCCACTCACTGGTATGTCGCCGGGTCGTAACCCCCTTGACGCCCCTGGATGTGCTCGTCCTCGTTATAGGTCCCACCTAGAAGTGAAATATCTAAAAAACGTCATTTAACACACAATTAACGTACCTAAACCAAACTAGGTAATAAATTCTTCATACGATGCTCAAATTGGGTATATGAATATACCACAGTGACCTACACAACCTCAGGATCATCCCCATATTTTTAAAATAATTTTTGGAGGTCTCACGCGCCCCCACGCGCCAGACGTGGCACGGACCTACGCGCGGCCCACACGCGCGGCCACGTGCGTTGCATGCTAACGGCACAGTAACGGTAGTTAGGGAATATTTCGTCAAATCCTAGTATATTCCATTAAAACCTAACCGTTCCGTTAACGGCGTCAGGAATATTCCGTTAGAACTAACGGAATATTCTTGCTTCTTCTCCGATGGACTCTCGCCGGACTCCGGTCACCGGAAAACAGGGAAAATTTTCTAATTAACTATTCTCACTCGTTTTTCGTCCATTTTCTTCGAATTTTATACCAAAATGAAGCATTTAACATGTACTATCACGTTGGAAGGGTTTTAGGGCCTAAAAACAACTAGATCATACCTTCCAAAATTTCTCAAATTCGGCCAAACTCGAACCCAACGATCCCGACGTCCATTTTGTTCAAACGAGGCACTCCGAGCCTCCTTGGAACTTCCTAAGACTCGTGGTGATCTTGGTTTGGCCTAAAACACAACCAAATCAAAGTTCGTGAACAGTACAAAATCACGGGGCTTTAAAAACTAGGGTTTCTCGAAGTGAAACTCACCTGAAACTTATACCCCCGTGCTCGTGAAGTTCCCAAGATCACAATGGTGATCTTAGATTGGACGTTGGTGTAGAATTGTGGTTGTTCTTGGTGTTTGCCGTGAGTTCGAGTGAGTTCGAGAGTAAGAGAGAGAATGAGAGAGTCTAAAATGAAGAAAGAGAGAGAGAGTGTGTGACTGAGAAGGATAAGAGCTGAGGAAGAGACAACCTACGGGTTTTGGGGAAGGAATTCGGGAGGTAGGACCCTACCTAAAGTCCAAATACAAAATAACACAGTTTAGAAATTTTTTAGGTAAAACAAACACCAAAATTACGCACCTTAATCCCGTTTAAGGGCGTTTTTGTAATTTCACGTCCTCAGAATTTATAATTCCGGGACGGGCTGTGACATCAAAGGTTATTGAATTTTATGTATATTTTTATCTAATATACATGTAAAGGTTATTCAATTTTATGTATAATTTTATCTAATATACATGTACGTTTAAGAATTATTGTCATTTGAGTTAATAACCCAACCTATATATAGAATTGGTGATTAGGTTTTTACCAAAAATAAATAAAAATTTAATGTCAAAATCCAACCCTATCCAACCTATGGGTTGGTTTGATCGGGTTGGTTGGTAAACCCACTTAAATGCCCAAACCTAGCATCGAGCTCAAGTAGGATGGTTTCAAAGAGCGGTTTAGGAGTAAGGAAGGACCACATTAAGTCACGAACTACATTTATCTATTTTTATTGGTAGAGATCAAAGGAACTCAAACCAGAACAACAGTACTAGATCACAATTATTATTACCTAAAACCCAGATGTACTTTGCAGTCTTTTCTCTCATACGATTCCTTAGCTACCAGTAGATATAATTCCTTTTCAGGGGGGGGGGGGTAAAGTCACTTTGTGTTGATTATTTTCTAAATATAAGTTTTCTTCTTCTGCATGTAAAGAAGGAAAAAATAAATTAATCATTTGGTGGATCTCAGAGACCATTTGAGACAAAAAAAAAAAAGGGGGGGGGGACTTGAAGTAGGTTTAAATTTGTAAGCAATTACCAGATATAGTCCAATTTTATTTAATTATTGGTTTAAGTCCAGTGACTCATTGTCCATGTCATTTTATTTTCATTTTTATCAAAATTACCCCTCTATTAACATTATCCTTTAATTCTAGATTTACTTGTATTATCAAATTAATTATAATTGATTATTTATCATTAAAGTAATCCCATAATTATAGGATTAGTTTGAAATAATATTATCTCTTCTTCCTCATAACTTCGGTACAAATAGTATTATCTTTTATGCGTGGTGATCTTCTTCCTCCTTGGAACCCATAACCGTGTGTTCATGCTGGAACATTTAACCACAAGGCTAGGAAGAAAGCCTTCTAAACCATAACCGTGGGTGTTGATGTGTATATATAATTGTAGACTCTCAGTATTAATTTCTTTCTTAGTTTTTTGTTTGTTTATAAGAACTTTTCTTTTATAAGTAAAAACGTTATAGCAAATGCACTTTATTTATTTTGTTTGTATACCTAATACAGAGGTAGACGTAGAAAATAATTTTGTCTTTCTATAGAGTAAGTAGAATATATATGCTTTATAGGTATAAAGTATTATAATTGATTATTTATCTTTAAATAATACCCTACTTGTAGAATTAGTTTTAAAGTATATATCTTCTTCCATAACTCCCGTATACAATTTGTGCTGTGTTCTCCGATCCCCTTCCTTCTTGTTCAGTCTTCTTCTTTCAAGCTCTTATGATTTCTTCCTCCTTTTTGAAATACAAGGTCACAATTTCTAATTTTTTCAGTGGTATAGAGCTTTGAAGTATGCCAATACACCAACAAAAGGTGCGTTGATGTACGTGGTTGGTTTTGGTTTTGGTTTTGTAGCATCAAATCTTGCATCTTCCTACTTGTCATCCCAACCAGGTCCTCCCACAATAGCACTAGTTAGGTCGTTTTGGTTGGGAACATTGCCATGAAAATATGAGTTTCATGCATGCACTATTAATTTCTTCCTAATTTTTAGTTTGAACTTGGATTATACGTATTTTTCTTTTCAACCTTTATAGGAAATGCATTGCTTTGTTTATCTACCTGTATTATATATTTCTGTAATGAATCTATTTGTATATTTTGTTTATTCTACCCATGTTATAGATTAATTGTATTTTATCTACCTATATATTACAAATTTTTATATCTCAAATTAATCATGTTATCTACCTATACGATCTGTTTTTGCTCATTATTCTATCTATATCACATATTATTTTGTGTTATCTATCTATATGATAGGTTTTTATTCATAGTCTACCTATATCATAGAATAATTAATATTATCTACCTACATCACAAATTTTTTATGTACCTAACATTTCTTTTAATTTTTAAACTTATAAGATTGGTTGTAATGTGTTTTTTGTAACGACCTGAAATTTCTAATTTGGAAGCCAAACACACAGGTAGGCCACAAATAAATAATGGTTAATTATAATTCTAACTAACCACACTAAAAAAAAAAATCATTTTGTTAAATTTATGGCTGCATCTAACATTTTGGTTAGATTGCCTACGTACCCTAAATGAAGGGATCAAGCCATTCGTAGTTCACGTGATGCTTCTAGACAACATACAAATATTTCATTCCGATCCAACGGTCAGATCTCCGCCAATCACGAAATCAAGTGACAGTCAACGTTTTATTTTACAAAATTGCAAATCCAAGTCGGGAAGATCCGTACAACGGATTCCCGATCCATAAGTTCCTAAGGTCATCAAATATTACGTATGATAAGGTTTCAAAGTTTAGTAACGATCCAACGGTCGGATTGTCGATTCCTAAATTGACCAACTAATGTATCGTAATGAATTTAGGTTCAAATGATTGACCTACGTCATACAAATACCAAATCTGAATTCAAGACACCTAATTTAGCTTAAATTGACATCGACGACCCTCAACCCAAGTTTTGCCGCATGCGCCGCCGCGAGTGGCGGTCGGCCGCCCCAACTTGCCTGAAAATTCCACTATTTCTAAAAATTTTCAAATTTTACAGAAATAAAGATCTCAAAGAGTAGAACAAACTTTATACCTGTGGCCAAATCCAATTTGGCTGGAAAACACCTCAATTTGCCACTTATCAGCCAGAACCCTAAAATTTTGGTGTCCTCGTTTTGACTCCATAGCAGCTCTAACGCCCCTAAACTTGTTTGAGCTTTGTTCTTGAGTTTTAGATGAGTGTTTTGGTGGTGGTAATTAATTTAATCAAACGTTTTCTAGTTTTCGCAGCAAACTTGGAAATCCAAATCATTTCTTTCGAATTCCGTCGTCCAAATGAAGCCTTCGATTTGAAAAAAAAATACTGTTGAAACATGGTGGAGTTTGAGCCGCTTCTTGGCTCAAATGGCTTGCATCAGTATGCAAATGGAGACAGAAGGGAATATGCAGATGTCCAATGCATTACAAATTAGGGGTGGGTTAAAAAAATAAAAAAAACCGGATTAAACACTGAATCGAAACAGAAAAATCGAAAGAAAAAATAAACTGAACTGAAAGAAAAAATCGAACCGAACTAAATCTTATTGGTTCAGTTTCGGTTTTCAAGGTTCAGAAACCGAACCGAATCGAACCGAATCCTTTTACATATGAATGTATGGCCATGATGTTTCTTTTGTGAAACTTTGTGGCCAAGTTTGGAACTAACTTAGGGCTTTTTCAATGAGCATACTTGGTCCAATTAGAGAGGATATTTCATTGATTATAGAGAAAATTTTTGGAAGGCTTTAGAATTTGGAAGAGCTTATTTATTTGTTTGCTTTTGAATGGGTACGGTGATCATTTTTCTTTGAAATTGAGGTTGTTGATAGAATATGAATGATATATATGATCTTGTATATATATAACTACCTTCCCACTTTCCCCTTTCCCTATTTTCTTATTATTAGTCTATCAAGGCAAGCCTCTTATCTAAATTTCATATTAAAAAAAGATCAAGTTTTATAAGAATAAAAAAAATAAAAAAATAAAAACTAAAACCGTACTGAAACCAAACCAAACAAACGAAATCGAAAAAAAATACGAACCGAATGAAACCGAACCTACCCCTACTACTAATGTCCTTCGTAAGAAGGGGCAATTGAAATTCTGTGACTGAATACAACAGTCTGTTAACCGAAGGAAGATGGAAGTACTCAATTATCGAAAATTTCTCCCATTGATTTCATTGAATACAGCCACATGCCAATGAAGATATCCGTTAAATTCAGAGACACGAGAGGGAGAGTAGGAAGAAAAAGAGAGAGGTACCTAGAAAGGAAACATCCAAATTATTGCTTCTGACCTACTTGATCGTTATGTAGCGATTTGTCCCATGTCTGGCCCAGTATTCTTTCAAATCCAGCGGTATTGACAAATCATGACCATCTGCTGCCAGCCGACTAAGCAATCTAGTAAAAACACTTCCGCTCATCTTCCGCCCACCCATCCGTGCATGGCGCTTATTTGGCATCTGAGGTAGTGGATACATAGACATATGGGTGGTGCAACAAGATGACTGCCACCCGCCATTCCCCCATTTGTAGCACTGCCGCGGAATTCCAGTGCATGAACAAACTGGCACTGGCATTGTAGACTCATCGAACGAGACAAGATTCAAACCCAAATCATGAGTATCCCACTCTGATTTATACTTAATCCCATCCGAGGAAGCCTGCCTATTCAAATCTTCGCCTACCTTTTTCCGTGACTGCTTTGCCCTGGATGCCTTGTTCTCCTTTGCTCGCTTTGTCTGACGTGACTTGACAGCTTCAGGAGATATAACTGAAATAGGGTAGGCCTCAGTTATATGCACATCTTTTGTGCTGTAATGAACATCAGCCAGGGTAACTGAATGGTTTGAGGGGCGCTGCACGCGTTTAGCTCCACGTTGAGCTCCACCACCCAACGGGAAGTTGACAGCATTATCCCGCGAATGAAGGGCTGCATAGGCGTTGTCCCGTTCCATCAGGGCACTATCACGCTGAGTAAGTGCCTCATCTCGCTGTCGGAGTGCCTCATCTCTTGCAGCCAAGGCTTCATTCTTTTCAGCAAGTGCTGCATTTCGTTCTCGAATAGCAGCATCCCTGTCAGCAATAATGGACATGATCTTCTTGTTCATGACTAAGGCATTTGGTTCCTTCGCTTGCTGTTGGGCCATCATATTCCACTGCACATTTCAATTCTACCCCATTCAAATGGATCTATAATTGCATAAGAAAACAAACATATTAACAGCACATAGTAAAACATGCTTTCTTCTTACCGGCGATGCCACCCCCCCTCTGTAATAGTCCATCTTGTGTCTCCCATTTTCATGTTGCCGACCATCATCCATTTTCGAAATATTAGCAGCAAGTGCTGAAAATGTTAACCACTAAACGTTTGTTAACATCTGCAGTCAGTGAGACACAGATCTTCCCTATTAAAATGAGAACTCAAAACTGAACAGAAAAACTCTATTTCACGTTAAAGACTTAAAACAATAACAAAGTAATGGATCGAAGAAAGTCTCTTGAAACAATTATTTATATTTAGAGATGGAAAGAAGTTTGAAGTCTTTTCAGATTTTGTGGATTAAAATGACATCCGAAATTAAATCCAATTCCGCAGAGAAACTACATGCCTTGGTAAAAAGCATCAATCTGACGAAACAATGCCCATAAATCACAGAAACAGCTCAATCCTCTAGCTATCAGAGAAAGGTTTGTTCTGAGTGTGAAATGTGAACGCATCACAAAGTAGCAGAGACTCTAAATAGCAAATACAACCCAAAACACACTAGTTTTTCAAGAAGCACATTTACACCTAATCATCTCGCCAAATCAGTCAAAAGTTACGCTACAAAAAAATAGCCATATTACTGAAATGTTATCATATCCATCAAGTCATGTACTAAGAAATATTTCAAATTCTACTCAAAAAAAGAAAAACAGCTCTAATAGCATGAAAGTTGGGCTAATGATATTGGAAATTCTTCTGTAGCATACTGCATACATCACGAAGAAGACAAGAAAATGAAAAGGGTGCAAGTCCATCATATGCTCACTGTAAATTACAACTGCTAATAGTATCACCAGCTCGGTCCCTGACCACAGAATGATGCTAATAACCTACACAAATCAAATCATGTACTAAAAGGTATTTCAAAAACCATGGAGTGTTGTAATGGTATTGACATTGCTTGTGTAGCTTACTTTACGAAGAAAACAAGAAAGCAAGGGGTGCAACGTCAATCAGATGCATAGAGAAAATTACAACTATTAATAGCATCCCCACCTGAGCCCTGACCATAGAATCATGCTATATCAAATATGAACTACAAATATCTCAAGTAGCATGAACAGTTCTAATGAAATGGACATTGCTTCTGCGGCCTAAAGGCTTTTACATCACACATTGCACACTATAAATGATAAGAATACTTCTTTTTATAACCTTAAGGTTGTTCCTAAAATCTTTCTGAAAAAAATGTATCTTATATCTCATTTCCGCAAATGTTCAACATCATTATTTATTTTCGAACACTTCAAAATGACATGGACATTGCTTCTGCAGCTTACTTCACAATGAAGACAAGATACTGAAGAGGGTACAATGTCCATCAGATGCTTAGGAAGGTTGTCCATCAGATGCTTAGGAAGGTTGTAACTGCTGATATCACCAAGTGATCATGAAGTCAGTACAAACATGAAAATCTGGTCTATATGGAACAGTAGAGAGGGTAAGATATATTTGATAATATCCCACCCCCATGATACATATACTTTTTCTATCATTTTTATCTTCTTTATTATTAGTTGGTACTTTTTACATCCCATCCCAAACCACTTGAGCCAAACCCAAAAGAGCACTGCCATTGTCATAAGAGATTCTTAGATTTTAATCATCAAAATGCAAAGTGTTGAAGTCTGGTACAAAATACATCGTTTAAACAGAAATTGACCCAGGTGGACTGAACGCACTGTTTATAGAAAGTTTGAAACATAAAACACCTTTATTGAATACAAATACAATTAACAAGAATATGGGTTAGTCATAACAAAAAAGTGTGAACTACACATTGAGAATGAGTTCTAATTTGCATTAATACCTTAGGAAGTGTAAAATACAAATTTTAAGCAAACAAAGAAAGAGACTATTTTCCAGGGCACACAATAAGAAAATTAGAATACTTCAAAACTTACCCTTTCCTCCTCTCCTGCTATCTGCTGACCGAATAGCATGAATACATCCCCATGCTTAATAGAGCTAAAGTTACAGGTACACAATAAGTGGGAAATGTGTTGCAGTTAGAACATATTGAATCCTACCTGAAACACTCCAAAGGGAAAAAAATATGTGTTAGTTGCAGGAGGCTTATACATATGCAAGAACACGTGAATATGCAATTATGCATATATAAGTATATATATAATAGTTTGAAAGAATAACATGTGTGCATGCTTAAATTTAAATATCATTACACATAATTACAGTTAGTGATAAAGAAGTGAGATCCAGTCATAACTTCAACGTACAATGTCATTACACATATAAGGGCAACCATCATTAAAATGACCCACACATTGAAGGGGCGGGGGTGTGTGTGGGAGTAACAACAACAAACAAATATCTTTCTGAAACTATAGCATTATGAAATCACTAGGTATAAGCAAGTATCCAAAAAAGTGGAAGCTTTGCACTAAATGCTTATTCTATGGTGATGGAAAACTACGATTCTTCAAAATAAATATATAAAAAAGAATGTCACTATTTCAAACTTTAGAACTGCTTAATATTTGTTTGTTGCAGTTTTAAACTATTCAGTAACTTATGGTCTCAAAAGTGAACAAGTACGTATTCATCAACAGGTTTAATATTCCTAAAAAAAGCAAATCCTTTACACTTTCAAGCACTCTGTTGCGGTCCTCAACTCGTGTAAACAATCATTCACAAGCTCAAAATATCATAGTTTGTGAAGAAATATATGCTGTTACAACCTAACTGTGATTCATCTTTTCCACTGCCAAAACAGTAGCAAGACAATTTTTTTTTTGGTTATTTTTGTTCAAATTGATTAAATCGAAATCCTAAAAGCAAATACTAATCTCTCAGTTACATTAACAAACCAAAAAGCAAGCACTCACTCTCTTTCTCTTGCAAACTAAATCACCGGCTAATATCTAAACAAGTGCGAGCTAAACGTGCCCAACTCCGAAGTGTACACAGCTCAATCTCAGACAAAATATTCAGATTTCGACGAGAAAAAAAGGTTTTGAAACCTCATTCTCATGTTCAATTCACCTGCTTATCTCTCTATCACATTATACCACCGCAAGCCAAATTCAAATGTTGTTCAAATTGATTAAATCAAAATCTTAATTCAACTACTAATCTCTCTATCAAATTAACCTCAATTATTGATCAAGATTAGCCTAACTAATCACACTAACTAAACGTGCAACATATCCAAGTGTTAAAAGGGCAAAGCAGAAAGAAGAAACGGTAATTCAAACAAGCATGAGCTGAACAGAAGCAATTTTACAGAGATTAAACAGCTCAATCTCAGTCAAAACATAGAACTAATCCGCCTTCAGAAGAAAAAGCAAAAAATGTGTATTGAAATACTAATTGAATGATAAAAATTTCGATTTTCCGGCGCTGGAGCTTCACTGAAATTAGGTTTCCGAGCAGGAAATTTCGAATGAGGATCTCCGAGATTGAAGCTCGAAAGCTCGGAAGCTCGAAGCGTAGAGAGTGTGAAGGAGAATAACTCACAGAAATTGAAGAATCCGCATAGACTCCGATCGATTCGCGTACTTTCAAGTTTCAAGTTTGAAGAGTTTCCGTTTTCTGAAAGAACAAACAGCGCAGAGAGAGAGAGAGAGAGAGAGAGAGGAGAGAGAGGAGAGAGAGGCGTGGTGAGTTTGATTTTCTGTCGTGCGTCAATCATTTTCGTGCAATATAGAACGACATCGTTACGGTACCCAAGTTTAAAAAAACGACAACTTCAAACATTCTAGATTTTTTGTGCAATTTTGCTCACTTTGCTAAATTTTTTTGGTGTGGGCCACTCGCCCGCTTAAGAAACAGATTAGGTGCACAAATTGAATCTTTTGAAAAATATATCGCGAGAGAAATTTGAGATTCGACACCATGATAAAATACTACCTGTATGATGAGAGCATGTTCCGAACCATTGTATTTGGGTCCAATTATATTTTTGCTCACCTCTTAAATTAGAGAAATTTTTAGGTGCAGACAGTTTACTTCACTCGTCTATTCAAAATGCACATAAAAGGGAGCCACATACATCATTGCATAATGCTCTGCTAGAATGGGATCGTGCACAATGGTGAAGCCAGAAATTGTCAGGAGGAGAGATGAAAATGGGTACTGTTGACCAACTCATTGGAATGATTTCTCAGTCACACGAAGACCCAACAGATCATAGAACATGCAAGGATTTTTCTCTATGTTCTTTGACATAAGAATCTGGTTTACGTATTTGAAAACAGGTTCGGAGAAATCTTTGTCACCAGAGGGCTCAGTCTTAGGCAGAGAAAATGAGCCTCCACCTGGTGGACTCAAACTATTACATGGAACAATTGACTCCACTTGTCATCATGCTAACTTTAGGAACAATATTACCCTGTTCGAATCGAGTGGAAGGGACAATGATTATCCATAAAGTTAAGATCCGAAGATAGCTAGTTAAATTGGTATTCATTTATGAGATTTGGTATCCATAAAGTTAGGCCGTCAATGCTTAAACCATTCATGTAATCAGGAATTCCATTGAAAGTTGTGTAATTGGTACCAGGTGGAATACACTATAATAAAAACTTAGAAGCAACTATACTGACTAGTCAGATGAACTAGTCAACTGAGTACAGGTTGTTAGATATCCACAAGCATATAAACCAAGTAAATTGATATTGCTAAAGCAAGACAAATGATCTCCTGTTATTGTTTTAGCCTTTGTTCTTGAGTTAAGTTTACTTAGTTAACGAAGTGTCAATACTAGCACACCTTACAAAGTTTATCTCTAACAATGATTATTTGGACATAAAGGTAACTTTGCAAAGTATTGAACATAAGAAAGTTTTTGGCTTGAAAAATCCACCTATGGGTTTAAAAAACCGGGAACTCTCCACTGAGTCCAATCCACTAGTGTAAACAAGGTTCATACAAAGACCACATAAGCTCAATTCCTAGATCTTTATTTATGGAGCAGCTTTACCTTTGTGCAACCTTGCCTTACACGATACGGAATCTGTGGATGCAAATTTCTTCCTCCTTAATCTTAGTCAAAATTGCACCTACAAAACAAATAACACCTTAGGTCAAGGCCAAGAGCCTCACACGCCCACGATGAATGGGGGGGGCTTTGGTCGAAGAACTTCTGATGCAAAGTTAGAATTTTGAGGGAAAATTATTTGGAGAATTTTGAGAATTTAGCAAGAGAATTGAAATTGGGTTTTGGAGAGAATGAGAGGCTTTTATAAAGGTGTGGCTGACCTTCTTGGGTGAGAAAGGATCGGCCACTTGTCTCTCTTTGTGGACTAGGTTCTTGATTTGTGTTTAATTGGGCATAATTGAATAATTAACTAATTAATTAGCCAATTAATGGAACAATTGCCTAATTGATTAGCTAATTAGTATAATAAAAAGGTGTGGCTGACCTTCTTGGGTGAGAAAGGATCGGCCACTTGTCTCTCTTTGTGGACTAGGTTCTTGATTTGTGTTTAATTGGGCATAATTGAATAATTAACTAATTAATTAGCCAATTAATGGAACAATTGCCTAATTGATTAGCTAATTAGTATAATAAAAAGGGAAAGATTTTGGAATTACCTTGTAGAAAGGATTTGATGAGGATGGATGAAATAGGTTTTGAATTGTTACATATTTTGGACATTTTTAACTTGGTTAAGGGATGATTGTTTGCTGCTCGCGTGTAGGAATCTCGATTTGCCTCAAGGGTATTCTTGTCATTTTCATCCAAAGATCTACGTGTCACAATGTGATTATTTTTGGCTCCACAAATGTCCCCACACATGTTGGGATGCTCGCAAAAAAGGGCAATAGGTGTAGAGAGATTTTCTTGCTTTTAGGAAACTTAGGACTGCTTCCTATTTTGATGTAGATTCCTTCTTTAATAAGAAATTAGATCTTTCTAGGAAAGAGAAATAAATTTTTCTCAAAGCCTATTAAAGTCCACCTTAAGTGGATTATTAAATCAACTTTGGAGAGCAATTTATTCTACCCTACAAGAGAGAGAAAGCTTGGAGGATATTTGTTCCACTTTCTCTAGTAATCTTCTACATCTTGCCCATGCAAATGATCGTCTTTTGTTGCTTGCTTCATCTTCACGCCGCTCCAAGGTAAGAAAAAAATAATTTTTCTTGTCTTCTCAATTTTCTTGGGAGCCTCGGGGCTTGAAATTGGTTCGACAGGGGTCGAGGTGACTTGAAAAAATCTTGGTGAAGTCCCGACTCTAGGGCTGCCGTGGGTGGCCTGGTGGTTTGGACTTGGTGTGGGCCAAGTTGGAGTCGAGCCGTGAGGCTTGTGGGCGAGGGAAAACAGGCTAGGCCGTGGGGGCTGGCGAAGATGTTGGTTTCTTATTGTTTGGGCCTTCAACTTCAATTTTTGTTTTTGAAAAGGCTGGGCTTGGGCCCGTGCCTGAAGGAGAAAATAGAGAGAGGCTGAGAGGCATGTTAAGCATTTTTTTTTTGTTTGGGCCGTGTGGCCTGCTTGTGCTAAGCCTTCTCCTCAGTTTTTTAAACATCCGTCTTAATGAATCTTCCTTGCATCTTTGTAGAATTCCTTTGAGTATGTCTTCTTCAAACCACAAGAATGATGATGGTGTATTGTCGTTGTACCGTCAAGGTGGGTCTTTGAGCAAGGTTGGCTACTTCAAGGCTGCTCACTTCAAGATTAGTTCCAATGACTTGTTTAGAGATTTCCTCGAAGCTTATTGGCATGCCATTCCGTCGTGAGTGCGTGTGAAGCAGGTTAATGATGGCAGCAGTCGTGAACCATATGACGGGGCTCGGAGAGCCATCAAGTTCCACCCCTACTACTTTGTGTTAGGGTTTACCTTTCCTATGCCGTGCTTTTTCCAAGTAGTGTTTTGCTCTATGAGATGTGTCATCGCTCAATGTTCTCCAAATGTGGTCCATGTGATGGTGGGATTCCACAATTTAAGTCAATTCTTTGACTTAGATTTGACCTAGGTCACGTTAAGGGAGTTGGGCAGCTGCAATCTCGCCATAGGCTTTTTGATAACTCGAGCAAGGGAGATCATGACTGGGCTAAGAAGACTTTGGAGATAAGTGGAAGATGTGAGTTAGATTCTTCCTCCGAGTTGCGTGTTCCAACGATTTTCATATTCGGTAAGCGAGCTGCTTAATTTTCCGACTGCTTTGTATTTGTGCTAAGTTGCTCTTTAATTTTCTGATTGTCTCCCGTTGCTTTTGTAGATTCGAAGTTTAGTTCAACTCCTAAGACTTATACGGACATGAAGAAAGTGTATGTTGCTCTAGGTATCCCTTCCGAGTATCGTGAATGACGTTGGCTGCTTAGTCCTCTTTGTAGGAAAAAAAAATGTGCTACCCCCAAGAGAAGAGATAAAACGAATCAAGGCTGAGACGTTGGCTCGTTCTATCACTGTGGTAGAGCTTGTTACAAATGAAGGTGAGAAAAAAAGGTATTCCTCTTCTGCTTAAAAAACGCCTGCTGAGAAGAAGCTAAAGATTTCCTCTGCTGCTCGAGAAGGTTCACCAGCTATTTAAGAGACGCTTGCTGAGAAGAAGCCAAAGACTTATTCCACTGCTCGCATGGGTTCACTGGCTGCTCCCAAGTTTATGATTGACTTGACTTCCTCCAAAAGCGAGAAAGATGAGGCTGCTAGATTTGTGCCGGTGGCGCCTGTCATTCTGAAGGCTACTAGTTCGATTATTGATAGGATTGCCCAGTGTAGAAGTTCCTTCGTGCCTTCGGTGTAGAAATGTGTGCCAAAGCGTTCGTCTGGGGCTAAGTCTGGTTCACCTTTGGAGAGGCTTACTGCTATGATGAGTGATAAGGTGCTCCTGTTTGCTAAAGTGTACCAAAACCCGTTCCTTTTGCTGCCGAGACTGACTCATCTGCTGAAAAGAATCAGATTGCTCGTGCAGGCAGTCGTGAGATATTCACCAAGTTTGTTTCTAGGGAAGTTGCTGAGATTTTTGCATTTTTGAAACTAGATCTGCTTGAGGACATAGATTTATGTGCCAAGTTTGTTGATGGCATCAAAGGGGTTGTTGGCCCAAGTTCATTTGCGAAGCATACGACCGGGTGCAGAATGACTGCTTTGCTGACCATGATGCAGAAAACGGCAAGTCTAGCAGTCGAGTCTATGTTTCTTGATCAAGAGGAAACCAAGACTGTTAAGGAGGTGGCAAGAACTGTGGTAGCCGAAGCTTACTTATCGGCTTAAAAAGTCAAGAAATTGGAATATGAGCTTGCTGCTTTGAAATGGTCTAATATCTCTACCCTCACTTCTCTGCAGCTTAAGACCGTTCGCCAAAAGATCGTGGATTTGAAGACTAGGCTTGACGCAATCCAAGTAAAGTATGAAAGTGCAAAGAATGAGATCGAGTGTTACATACCTCAGATTCAAGATCTTGAGCGTGCCATTTTTGTATTCCGCTCCGCTGCTTATGTAAAGGATGAAGAATTGATCACTGTTTACAACCAAGTGATCCACTTCAAGAAGGTTGTTGATAGGCTTGAGCCTCAAGTGTTAGAAATCCAACGTGCCTTAAAGATCAACGACAATCTGAAGAAAGTAGTGGAGGAGCTGCAGCGGGTTCATGCTTATCTGCTCAAGGAGAATAAGCAGTTAAAAGGTGAGAAGGCTGGGTTTGAGGCTTCGCTTACTCAGAATCAAGCCGA